GGGGGGGGGGGGGGGGGGGGGGGGGGGGGGGGGGGGGGGGGGGGGGGGGGGGGGGGGGGGGGCGGCGGCGGTGGCGATAAGCGGGGATGCAGGGTGTCACAACCCTCAACATACATATGATTCATGTGGGGGTAGTATAGACACATCGCAGCCCGCCTACAAGCCATCCTCGCTACAAAGAGGTAGCTACATTTCCGGTTGCACGTTCTTACACGTCATTTCCAAAACTCACAAAATCAACAGCATGGATGTATCTGCCTTGTACAGTACGTCCTTTCCGAAACCAAAAAATAATACCGTGAATCATGCACGAGGTCACATGCATATAGTACCTCGAGGAGCAGCTCGACAGTGCGGAGGTCGCCCATCTTGCACGTCATGTGCAGGGGGGTGTTGCCCTGGAACGGCTCTGAGAAAACAAGGGGTGTGCAGGCGGGCGGGCGGGCGGGGTCAAGCGGCATTCCGGGGACAACACTACCTGTGCATCAAAAACGAAAGCTTGGGTTATGTATTCATCACGCGGAAAATACAGAGACAGCAAAAGCCAGCCCGAAAGCCAGCCGTGGCCACAAGAAAACAACTTCCAACATGAGCCCGTCCGTTATCTAGCACGCCGAGATCGAAACCAAAGCTGCTGCCGCGGTCTGTTGTTGTCGAGCCGGTGGTATTCTTTTCGAGCCACGTGCAACACGCACTGCACGCGGGCGTTCTGGCAGAGTCTCTCTGACTTGGGCAGTCATTGTCCGCGGCAACCCCAACCTTGAACCCCAACCCAGAGAAAAACAAACAACACAACGACGGATAGCTTTCTCTCACCAATATCGCGCCAACGCAAAATCAACAAAAACAACGACAGATGACTCTCTCTGACCTGGGCGGTCAATGTCTGCGCCAACCACCAGGAGCGTGGCTATGATGGACAGCTTCTTTTGCCCGGGGGGCAGGCGCATGGCCGTGTGCAGGGGGATCCGCCGGTCTCCCCGTGGCGTGTTGACACGAGCGCCGTGCTGGAGAACGGTCCGCACAAGGCCGGGGGCCTGAAGGGGGTGGGGGTTGGGATGGGGGGAGAGACGTGAGACAAATGCATAGTTTTGTTGAAGCAAATGCTTTCGCTGGGGCGGACAAATCAGCTGACGCGAGCATGACCTCAACCAGAGAGCGACGAGCGGAAGAAAGCGAGAGAGAACGGAGGGCAAGAGCGTGTGCGACCTGCAGCCGTTGTTGCTGGCAAGAGCGTGTAACAAAGAGTCGTTCCTGCACGTCCATGAGAAGACTAGAGTGCCAACCTCCAGCTTGACATGGACAACCTCAACTCATTCCTGACCCGATCCTACCAACACACTTCACAGCAGCAACGACGACGGCAACATGACACCCCATCATCCACCGCCACCATTACCAGTACTTCTGGACCGAACCGCCTTCGTGAGAAATGAAGTTTGTGACGAGATGAAACAGGGTGGAGGAACGAAGACCCTATCCCTAACCCTATCCAACCTGATTAGCTACATCAACGAACGCTACCAAGGCCACTTACTCTGTCTGGACCTAACCCTAGACCCCCAAGTTGACCAGTAAATTTACCTCGTTGGCCACGGCACTGTGTAGAGGAGTGTACCGGACCTCGGGGTCCCCGTCGTCCCTGTTCACGTCGGCGCCCAGCTCGAGCAGCGTCGCCACTACGCCGGCCGCCGTCTCCACGCCTTACGTATCACACACAGAACGGTAGACTCAACAGCCAGGACGGAGACCCACAACAATTTTAAATAAAACAGGCGCCTGCGTACGACACACATCAACAGTACTTGTACAACAACAGCGAACTACTTGAACTGACTAACATGCTGGGGGTAGGGCGGGTACTACAGCTAGAGGTTGCCTCACAGCCAGACGGTTAACGCTCTTAGCGTAAGGCTTATCGAGATAACCCTCTCACCCACGATGTCGCCAGAGCAAAGCCGTAGCGCAAGTACTCTAGTTCACAGTCAGATGGCTAGGCTTTAAGGCCAGAGACGCAGTGTAGTGCAGCAGGTTAGGCCAGTTCAGCACGCTGCTCACAGCCAGATCGCTATGTAGGTTAGGGTTAGGCAAGCACCCCTCACCAATGATGTCGCAGAAGGCAAGGGTGTAGTTGAGCGGGTTGGTTCCCAGGCCCGGTTCCGCCCATGAGAAGTCCGGCCCTCCCATGGCGACTGTCCAGGGCCTCTCGTATGCGTCCTCGTAACGGCAATCCACGTCGCCCCCCTCAATCGCAAACCTAGTTTGTCAAAACAAAACGCCAGGCGTCTCGGTTTACACTATTCGGCGGCGAGCTTCACCCAGCTATAATATTTTTCTACCATTATAGCAGAGGGCTGTGCCCAGCCCCGCTGATCTAGACCCTTCGAGATGACAACTTGTTCGGTCTCGAACAGACGAGACTTGTGGTACAAAGTTGTCGGCCGTGATGGGCTTGATTGATGCACACCGTGGAGGCGAGAACACACACACACACACACACACACATGGGGTCTTGAGAAGCGTGCTCTGTATTCTGAGGCACTGCGACTGACGTCCGTTCATTGGTCAGCCGGCTAGCGCGGTTGAAGCCGACAAGAAAGACACACAAGACACGCAGAACACAAAACACCCCGTGGGTCTTGAGAAGCATCTTCTGTTTTCAGAGGCATTCAGACTGACGTCTGTCCATTGGTCAGCCGGATACTGTAGCGCGGTCGAAGCCACACGTAGGACCCGCACAAAAAAACAAGAAACAGAACGAAAAAAAAACACTAATAGCAACGCACACACCTTCTAATGGCCGTCAAGTCCCCCCTGAAGCACGACACGAAGCACCTGATGGGGTGAGACGCGGCCAAGGCCTGCCCCCCCGAGGTACGCCTGCTGTCCCTCGAAGATCTCCGGAGATGCGAGGTCGACAGCTTGCTATCGTAGTCGATCTGTCATCAGTTCATCAGTCTCACCCGCGTTTGGTGTTGCAGCCCAGGGTATCAAATAGGTTCGTACGAAACAAATACAAGTACGTCTCGATTTGCGAAGCACCTATCGAAGCTGTTGGCGTTAAGTCGCGAACGGTAAAATGCTTATCCGTGAGAGGCCGAGGGATGACACCCCCCTTGAACCGCTTTTCAAAGCCGACCACTACACAACCAAGATTGTGTCGAAGAAAATAAAAATAAACGGTTTAGGAAACGTCTCGATAAGGACTTTTTGGGGCTCTTGTCCGCTTCCCCTCGAGTGACCGCCTTCTTCCCACTATTTTTTTTTCGCTTTTCTCACTTTGTCCATGTAGTCTTGGAGCAGGGGATGAGTCCCGATCTTCCCCGGGGTTTCCGAAGACTTGGGGTAGCGGTAGGCCAGCGTTCCGTCTTCGCGTACGACCCTGTTATAATCATTTTTTTCAGGGCGGGGGGGGGGATCCGTCCGCACTGTTTTCGTTCACACCATGTGGAGAGACTCCTTCATACAAGCAAGCAAGCAAGCAAGAAGCAACCAAAGGGACCAAGCGAGGTTAGGCGAGGTCGACGACCCTTACTGCTGTACCTGCCGAACCCGTCCGGGAGGGGGGACTCGACAAGCTCCACGGCGGACCACCACTGATGGCGGTAGCACGGGTCGTTGATGCCCAGGTCGTTCGCCGCGGAAGCGACCTGATGAGAGGGTGCAATGGGGAAAAGGTGGTATATGTTTGTGTGTCTATTATTAGCATCGACCGCGCTAACCGGCTGACCAATGAAAAGACGTCAGTGTCAGTGCGGTTGAAAACACAAAACACTTCTATCTGCCACGAAGTGGGACCCCGCGAGGGGCATGTGTGTGTGTGTTATGGATCACATTTTGTATCAGAAATTAAGTGTGGTAATGTCGGACAGGATTTGACTACAAGTAGTGTTTTTTACGGGATGACGTAGACCGTCAACTGGGGAACTAGAATCAACAGTGTTACAATAACTGGCGAACCAAGGCGTCGGTCTCAGTGCGGTTGACAAAAACACATGGTATGTCTTTGTGCATACAGTACACATCACACCAGCACCTGCCGTAAAGCTGGGACAATCGCATCAAGCCTAGCACAAGAAGGGCTGGCTGCATGAGACAGAGAGGCCGTCTTGCCTTGTCTCACCTGTCTTGCAACCGGCCACAGCAGGGGGCACAGAGGGATGGGTTCCTCGTCCGTAGCCTTCACGCGGAAATACCGTACCACACACCACACGGAAATACAGCACCACGAGGGAGCAGCCCAAGGGGAGGGCAAGCGGGGCAGAGCAGCGCAAGAACAAGAAGGCAGGAAAAGCGCTGACGGTGATGGGTGGCCATGGATCAATTCGAAAAACAGCGATCAACTCCTTGTTTAAAATGACGAGCAGCCAACAAGAATAGAAGCCGAAAACGAAGAGAGACGAAAAACTCAAACCAGTTCTTGTACCACGTTTTCCGTTTGTAGTGTGTGGTAGAGTTTTTGTTTGTATTGTTTGGTAACTTTTTGTGGGCACTGTAGTTGGCCTGTGATAACGGATCACGGAACACGTCAGTTAGAACGGTATGAGCAGAGACCAAATGTGTAACTTTTCAAACAACACCAGGAGACTTGGTGCACCAGTCCGTGCCCAGCACCTTGACCGGCACCAATCAACCGGCTTTGTCATTGACCCCCCCACCCCCTACCCCCCACCCCAGCCCTCCCCGGTGTTTGCCATCGGGATTGGGTTTCGTCGCTTGGCAACGACGTTGTAAAACAAGCCAATTCACTTCGTGAACTCGGCAACCAGGTTACCGTTTTTTTTTTTCCTCTGTTTTTTTTGGCATNATGCCGAACACCCTCAGCAGGATGCAGCGCACCCTTCATGCGACTCGCCCGAGTATCTCACGGCGCTTCGCGCTTGGTGACGTCAGAGCCTGGTCCGGTGAGAACCCGGCGTGCTCCGTCCCGGCTTTATAGGGATGCGAGGTCAATGGTCTAACGACTACGGCATGCACGACTATGAGTACCCCACCCCCCGCCCAACCTGTATCTCACCCGGTGGTCGACCTTCCTCGCGAACGTTTTCTGCGCCTGACAAAGCGGAGGCTTTCTTCCCGCCTCGGGGATGATCGCCGAGAGGCCTATGCACCAAAGAAGAACCACACTCGCATCCTGGGAACAAAAAAAAAAAATGGTCCGTTTTCGTTTCGACTTGCGAGGAACTCGCATCCTGGAAAAAAAATAACTGTTCCGTTTTGCTTTGTTTAGACCGGTGCCACACTCGCATCTTGGAAAAAAAAAAAAAGAGAGCAACTATTTGGCTTGATACATATCGACCAGTGTCAGCCTCGCATCATGCCGGAAAAACAGGGAAACTGCTGCATTTGCACCATTCTCAACGAGAAAAAGGCTTGCGTTTTCGGCTACATCAAAAAGTAGTTTCGCCCCCCCGAAGAAAAAGCGCCCTTCTCTCGCAGCTTGCCTCGCTGCCAAAGTCGTAGGTCCTCTAGGGTACGTGCGGCAAGCACGCAACGGTTAACATTTAAGGTACGCTGAGCCTAAACTTACTACATGTAGACACACATTACGTGGAGAAGGACTCTACATTCTGCTAGGGTTAGGGTTGAGAAGGACCTTACATCCCGCGATCGGTCAAGTGTCAGTGCTCTTACCTCGCTCCCGAAGTCGTAGGTCCTCGAAGGCGTGTGAAGCGAGAAGTAGCACCACTCCGACGGAAGCCGGCTTTTCACTGGGGAGCTCTGGACAACCCGGACAATTAAATTAGACAAGTAAATAGAAAAGGGTTTGATTGCACGGGACGTGGCAAACAAACGCCCACGGCAAAGTTGCGGTGATGTAGAAGTATCGAAGCCACTGACCCTCTCCAGCGGGAATGAAAAGGGACGAAACGTATACACCGTAAGGTTACGAGTCAGCTAGAGCACAGGGGTGCGATCGATTTTCAAGCGTGATTTCTCCACAACCAAAAGGGTGCGAACGCCAACTGATACTTCTCAGGAAAGCTCTCGATGAGATATTCCCAAACCGCCCATTCCAACAGTGGTAACCTTGTGGCTATGGAGAAATTACGCTTTGAAAATCGATCGCACCCCTGTGCGCTGACTCGTAACATTACGGTATATATACTCTGAAGTATGCATATAAAAAAGAGACACGAGCAAAAAACTACTTCCAATTGCGTTTTTTTCCACCAAAGTATGAGCATCAAAAAGCCTTTCGCTCACCTCCCACTCCTTGATGAGAGTCGGGGTTTCCAGTCCGACCGTTAGGCCCGTGATGGCGCTACTGCCCGTGGCCCTCAGGTCCATCGACTTCGCGCCCGACGAGTTCTTGAGGTCGTTTGACCAACTCAGCTGCGCACCAAAGAGAGGGAGCCCCGTGACAAGCGCGGGGGGGGGGGGGGGGGGGGGGG